AAAAAAAAAACTTTAATAGGTACAGTTTCCTAACAAACTGTAAGTTTACAGCTTTAAACTGAAGATCCAAAATTTGAATAAAAAAACTAACGGGTTTGTGAAATTGTTCACAAAGTTCAAAACAACAAAAGTTAATTAATAAATTAATTTAAAATGTTATAGGTTTTTACAATATCCTTATTTTAAAACAAACCCTAACTCTCTCTCTCCTTTGTTCCATTTGGCTTCCTGGAACCAGGAAGAAATAAAAGTAACAACTAATCATTCTCGCCTCTTAGGTGGAGATCCTAATATTTATGAAAAGCCTCATTTTTCACACCCTTTTAATTTTTCAGCTTCCACTGAAAAAATGCCTTTATGTTTCTCTTCTCCTAATGTTCTTCCTATTAAACATTGTGTTTCTACGGGTTATAGAACATTGTTAACCGATTCTCCTGGAATTACAGATTCTCGATCTGGTGCTGGCAAGCCAACTACCCATTCACCAACCATTAGTCGAGATCCTTGGACTTTATCTTTTGTTTCTTTAGCAAATTTTAATGATTCTGATGGCTGCCTGAATGGCTGGTTAAACAGATTGATTATAACCCTCCAGCCAGGGAATCGGACATTCCCTGAATACCTCTTTCTCTCTCTTTGTATAGGTTTATGATGTTTGTATTCTTCCTTGTTCTTGGACTGTTGGCTCCCTGGCCCCAGGTCCAGTCTGGCTTTGGAGACCCTGGACTCGCTCCACAATTGGTAAGCAATCATTTTGGTAACCCTTGTGATTGCAAAGGGGGCACTATTCTTAGTCCTCCCTCACCGTATATAGCTGTTGTTGATTGTGGAGCACGTTTGGCTTATCTGGCTCCAGCATCCCCTGCTTATAGTTGTGTGGATAAACCACAGTTCACACCCACTGACAATGAAGGCCCTAAGCCTTGTCCCTGTCAATCTTTTGTTGAAACATTACATAGTACCTGTTATGGTTCATATCAGTTGTGTATCTCAGATAATCAGACATATTTTACTGCTATCCTAACCAGAAATTATGAAGGAACATTTGGAGGGGATCTTGCTGACCCTCCATCTGCAGTGGGGCTTGTTTCTAATAAATATGCCCAAGCTCCCTGTTTAGGACCCATAGGGAAGCCTATATGCTGGTCTATTACCCCCTCTTTCTATATGTCTGATGGAGGTGGACCACAAGATCAAACTAGAACCCTTAAAGTAGAAAAAAAAATTACAGGAAATGCATGATATCCTATTTCCTCAACTTGCTTATCATCCATTGGCTTTGCCAGAAAATCGAGGTGAATTGGATTTAGATCCTCTGACCTCTCACCTCCTTTATGCCACTTATAAATTGCTTAATACAACTAACCCTGGCCTTGCTCAAGATTGTTGGTTGTGCTTGGTCATGGGACAGTCTATACCTGTGGCCTTTCCATATTCATCCCTTAATTATTCTATCAATGGTCGATGTCCTTTAACTAGTCCCTTACAAGTACAACCTTTACAGTTTTATAATGTTACCTGTTTCCTTTCTCCTTCTATTAATAATAGTTTTGAAATTGATGTAGGCTTTGCAGCTTTTGCAAGTTGTCAATCAAGAATCAACATTTCTGGGCTGGCCCGGTGGCGCACTGGATAGTGCACCGCTTGGGAAGCGCGGCGGCACTCCCGCCCGAGAGTTCGGATCCCACATACAGACCGGTTCCCGAGAGAGAGAGAGAGAGAACGAGAGAGAGAGAAAGAGACACTTGAGTGCTCTTACTACAAAATTGTAAAAGGTTTTTCTTTGTCTTTTAGATAATTGGCCTACATATCTTATTTCATGTTTTATCATGATAAGATTTTGTGCTCTTTGCCTTTCAAACCCTTTGTCAGTTTGGTTTTATTTTTTTAGTAGAAATTTATGATTTTATTCAATTAAATGTTCTAAGCCTTTTGTTATTTAACACAGCTTTCCAACATTAAATTCTGAAACTTTAAAATAACTTTGGGAAATTCCAAGGGCCCTGGAGTTTCTCAAAGGATATCTGAAAGATGTATCAAAACTAATTGGCTTGGGCCGGCCCGGTGGCACAGTGGAGAGTGCGCCGCTTGGGAGCGTGGCGGCGCTCCTGCTGAGGGTTCGGATCCCATGTGGAGACCGGCTCCCGCTCACTGGCTGAGTGCGGTGCGGGCGCAACACCGAGGATTGCGATCCCGTTGCCGGTCCCCGGTATGGGCGTGACACCGAGGGTTGTGATCCCGTTACCGGTCAGTATAAAAGACAAAAAGACAAAAAAAAAAACCCCCCAAAAAACTAATTGGCTTATTTAATAAATTCGACTATGTGGGAAAGCATTATTAATACTGAAGGTGTTATGGATATGTGTTCCAACATTTTTTAAGGTTTTTAAATATCTGTTTTAATATAAATATTACCAGCCATAATTTTGGTTTAATTATAATTTTAAAATGTTATGTCTTAAAATATTTTATAAAAAAAAACTTTAATAGGTAGCTTCCTGACAAACTTTAAGTTTATATCT